TATATATATTTTTAAAAACAAAATAACCTTCAGGCAGAAAGAAGATTCGAGAAATGTGGACACTAATGCTACTAAAGGGGCTTGGGATATAAGTGTATGCTGGAAGCATGTGGCCTTTAATAAACTATTATCACACTCCAGAACAAGGGACCAACAATCCCTGGACAGGAATAACAGCAATCATCATTATTTTTACTAACATTTATTATGCAGCTAAAATATTCTAGGCACAGTGCTAAGGGCTTTATATAATACTATAATACCACAAATATAATAGCTGTTGAATGCCAGCCAATGATGAGCAGTAATGATAACAACTTGGAATAAGTCAAATATAAAGAAAAACTGCTTAAAGGAAAATAGGAAATCATGTGCAAGTGAAGCTATCATTAATAATCAATGCTGTAGTAAGTCTCCAGCTTAAAAAGCAGAAGCTGTAGTCAGACAAATATATTCTCAAAAATGAAAATCTAAAGGAAGCATGTCCTTATAATCAAATGTTTATATTTCAGAGAGATCTTACCTCTTTTATATTCAAGGGTCTTCCACTAAGATCATACTTGTTCATAGTTTCTAGTGCTTTCTTTACAAATTCTTCATCTTTGAATTCAACCACACTTAATGGAGAAAAATTTATAAGAAATGTTTATGTACTAAGACTTTCTTTCACAATCAGAAGTTTAATTTGACTTAAGGTATTGAAAAAAAAATTCTTACCCACAACCCTACATCCAGGTAGATTTTTTGAATATATGCAAAAGAAAAAACAAGTTTTAGATCAGTAGATGAAGTTAGTAGTAGATTCTAACACTTACGTCATTAAAAGTAATCAATTATATAATCATTTTAAAGCCTTTTACACCTCCAGAACATAGCAGGCAAGTGATCATAAATTTTCTATAAAATTTTAAATCCATCTATTCATAACAGAAGCTAGCATATAACAAGCTTGGAGCACATTTTTACATTCAAATAACTTTTCTTAAAGTTAAAACTAGTATCATTGTACAAATTCAATCAACAGTAATTCTAGGAAGTATGTGAAGACTCCAATATACTTGTCCTTACATAATCACAAATATTTTTAAAAGATATATTGTGTACAACATATTTTTCAACTCTAAGAAAATAAAAATTGCAAATAATATTAATTCTATTTTTAATAAAGTTCTGTATTAGATTCAAACTCACTGCAATAGCATCCAATTGTAAATATGTAAAAATCACCTATGCGAAAGAAATGTAGAATCACTTTTTAAAATAATTTCTTGTGATTACTGTTCAAAGTGTCATTTGAATACAATATTTGTATTTCTCATTTACTAACTTGTTTTTGCTAATAAAATTAAACACTGTAAAGAGCTTTCCAATGTATTCTTCAGTATACTGTACAGTTGTTGTTAAGAATCAAAATCTACGATCAACCAATTCCTTCTGTGCTAATTTATTCATCAATGTCCTTCATAGCATTTGATCAGAGCACTGCCTCGTATGTGGTCCTGCACATTACCAAATTGAGCTTTTCAATAAAAGTTTCAAAGATACATTCTGAATTAACACCTTTAAGCTACAAGCCTCTCATAAAACTCTTAGGGAATATTATCACTTCAGTAACTTTAAAATATCCTTGAAGACATCAAAATACAACAAAAAAAATGTTATTGACTAAGAAACATTGCCTTAGAGTATTAGAAAAGTGAATGCCCTTTACAAAAACGTTTATTACCAAACCCATCCCTTCCAGGCAGCTAGTTTGGTTGGTATAAGTGTCACTCTTACTAGTATAAAGCCTCAAATCTTGAATGATAAAGTAAAGCAAAATGAAACTTAAGTTTCCCAAAACTGGTACAAGTATTATACAAACAGTAAACTGCTGAGGAACTTTTAAACCTCAAGCAGATTATTGCCCACAGCACTTACCCTTGATTTTCCTTCCGCATCCTTAAAGAGCTCCACGTATGTAACCTCACCGACTACATAAGACATACAAAAGGAAGATACCAAGAAACAATGCATTTAAACACCAGTATCTTGCTTTACTGCACACCTGTGCACAACTCTACAGAAACGCACCTATTATTCACCAACAATCAAAACCAGACCAACATACCTCCTGTCAATGGCTATGTAAATTTAACTAATTTTCAGAAATGTACATCATCCACATTCTCTAAAAAAAGCTAACAACCATATTAACCTAATTCATACTACAGATCATATTTTGGCCAGCATGATATAGTTGGTGAACAAATGCACATATACATACAAATGGTCCCTTAGCCTATCATATTAAAAGACATCAACATTAGCACTTTTCAAATAACTTTGGTCAGCCTACACACAACAGCTGTTTTAAGGTGACCTTCTACCTGAATGTCCTCAATCATGGTTGCCATCAGTAAACTAAATTTACAAGTCATGCTTCACAGCAAGCCACACACTTTCTAAATAAAGTCAATGAATAGAACCAATCAAATAGTTGTCACCTTACAACAGATACACCAATGCAATTATTTTGTATTTATTAGAAGAGATCAGCCTCAAAGCCAAGTACATAGTTTGCGGGACTGATGAAACTCAATTTTTCAAGAGGTAACAGAACTAACTTTTACAAAATCAAGTATTAAAATTATTTTTCCCCAAAACCAACCATGTATATAAGATGAAGGTTTTCAGGTTATTCTGAAATCAAACTACAACAGCAGTAACGCAATTTTAATATAGAACTGCAAAGACAGCATCATGGCAGTCAGGACAATGCAAACAAAAGGAATTCCACAGCCAGATTCCAGACTCCACCAAGGTAATAACAAAACAGCTTTAGGGAAAAAAAATCAGGCCTTGTTATTCATACATTAACACACTACATGTATTGCTTACCTAATGCAATAATGCTTTAAAAATCTATAAAAACTTCAACTAGACAAAGCGATCACTTTAACAAAATTCTTGGTGGCATGCAAATGCTGGTTTGCTATCCTACTGAAAAGTGGCAAAAAGAAAGTACTTCATTTATCCATACTACCTTAGAATGAAATTGTGTCAAATGAAAGAGGAAAAGATTAATTCACATGTCAAGAAATATAAATTAATATTTTGAATCTGTGTGGCTAAGAAGAATAAAAGTGTGCTTAGTTCCCTCCCCTCCTGACATGAAGATTAACCAACACTGGGTGAATTCAGCGACACTTACCTTTTTCTCTCATTAGGTCTTTAATAGCTTGCCATTTCATGTCATAGGGGATGTTGCTAATGAAAACTCTGTTACGATTTGGACCCTTCTTTTCCCCAGTGCCTGAATTCTTGTCTTTTGAATAAGGATGAAATCGATTGGCCTTTTTATTTCCTGTGGATTTCTCTTTTAGGTCAGATTTCTCTTCTTTTACTGATTCATCATTCTCCCTATGAATTTTAAAAACAAAAAATAACCTCAGTAGTGCTGGTAAGAATGTAAATCTACATTAAACAATTCATATGTTTCACTTCATAAAATCCTCCACTACACTAGGCCTCAGCAAAGCAGTTGAAGAGACAGCCTGATAGGTTTGAAACGACTCAATGTCGTTTCAAAGAAGGGTTTGAGCATCTAGTCTTACCAAACTTCTCAGTCTCCCACTTAACAATCCTCATATTTTTCCATATTAAACAGCTGTAGGCATCCAATCGCCCAGTTTTTCCCATCATACCACTTCATAAATGTTATTAGAACCTATGGTAGGATATTTTTACAGTATATAAAATTTCCACCTTTAATGGGGTATTAACTTTCTGAGTGTGTTTCAAAACTCTTAAAAATCTCATTTATTAAATGGTATCGTTTCTTAAAGGTTAACAGTTTCTTCCCAGAACTTTCTCTTTTTTGCTAAAAATGTAATAAAAATTCATAGCTCTGCCTATATACCTACATCCATATATGTATATGATCACATGTATATGGTCCATACATGTGTATGACTCAAACTTTTTCTATTCCCAAACTGGATAAACAAAGAAAATTGATAAGGTATCCTAACATATTCACGTTGAACATTTTCTCTGTCTCTCACAATAAGATAGTACAGGGTATTTCATAGAATTGTATCGCTTTAATGTTATCTATAATGAAGGGATAGGATAGAGGGAGGCAGTAATTAAACACAATATGAGCCAGAAATTTATAAGTCTATTTAACAAAGCCTAATTGGAAAAACATTTAATTTATAAGACTGTAATCATAATGTCATTATTATGACGCTATGAAATGTAGGTATACATAAGATCCAAGCATGTTCTGTACTGCAGGTAAAACCTATAGATAAAAATCTGGATTTATATTTAAAAATGCAATTTACCTTTCAAAACAAATAGTTTTTACAAGTTTCTTTAAAATTACTTTAAAATTACTACTCTAGTGAAGTTAAATTTTTTTACAGAAGTTACAACAGATTCCCTCCTAAATCACTAATTACACTACAGAATTTAAAATTATTAATAATATTAGAGCTATTTTCACAAACATATACTAATAAAAAAATCTCAAGAGGGCCGGGGATTTAGCTCAGTGGTTTCGCCACCTGCTGCGCAAGGGCAAGTACCTGAGTTCAATCCCCGGTACAAAAAAGAAAACAAAAACTCAAGAATGACACTTAGAAATCTAATTTTTTTAAAACTTCCTGGATTACTGTGAAAACCAACCAGGTTTTCTACCCCAAGCTCTAAATGCCCTTCTAGGCAAGCACTGTGGATCTACACATTGCCCTACTCCACAGACACTCTGCCATCGGTCACGAGTTTCCTACACTGCTCACCGGAGCAGGTAACACAGCTTTATGCAGTTACATACACTCTCCAAGCACAAGAACTCTCTCTCCTGTGGTGTAGTTCAGCCGCCCTAGCACGTGACTGCATGTAACGGGGATTCTGAAGGAATGGACAGTGAGGAACCCACACTCATCTGAGCAGACGGGGCCAGTGTCTGCCAGTGAAGCTGCTGAAACCAAGGAAGAGACAGCATTACCAGACTTGCTTTGCTACCTCTCCAGATCCTGACAGGGACACCTTCCTACCAAACAGCTCCCTCACCAACAGCGGTGGATCTAGAAGGGGTCTTCTTGGCTGTCCAGTTCTAGAAAGCTCCTCCCTCCGCACAGATGGCAGTGCTGGGAAAGGCAGGGAGGAGCCAAGGCACAGATACCTCTTCTCTGGCTCCTGGGGCAGCAAATACAACAAGGCCCTCTTAGTACCTCCCCAAAGGGCCTATTTACATAACGGCTTCAGCTGAATTCAATGCATGTTTGTAAAGTAAGTCTCTGTTCAAATAATCAAGTATCTATAGCTCTAGATCAAAATCCTTCCCCCTGACTATTTTCTTCCTGAAGGAAACCAACTGTGTGCGTGAACAAAGTTCTAAAGTGCCCAAAATGTTGTTCTGTTCTTGACTTGGGTGGGGATTACATGAATGCGGTGATCATTTGCTTGTAAAGATCTGACAATTCTACTAAAGATCAGCCTTTTATCTAGACTATCTTCTTTAAAATATTTATCAATCATGATCAGAGACAGCAATTTCTTCTTGTCACCCAATTAGTAGCAGCTTATCTATACCACTAAACCACCTCCAATACATAAATTATCTATGGAAGACCTATCAGTTTAATGACTAGAGGAATGATCTGATTATTAAGAAACTAAACCATAATTACACAATTCCTGAATTCTTTCTGTGCCATAAATACACCATGGAGAGGAAATAAAATATATGTGAAAACTCATAAGGAAACAATGCTACCAAATACTGGCACTATATCCAGAATTCAATGTACTAACTCTCAAACTATTCATTTTGATAAACTCATCCTTCTTTAATGCACTTAAAGACTAGAATAATTACAAAAATTTTATCTGCTCTTGAGACCAAATTATTCCTTGCCAATTATAAATTTCTGAAAAAAATCAGTATCTAACAGCAAATGAAACATAATATTATGTGATTTTAAAGCATGAGATCTAAAGTTAACCTTGTTTCAGAAGAAAAATACCAAAGGAAAACTCACAGCTTTACGTGCCTATCTAAGGAAAAAAAAGAAAGTTCTCGACCTAAATTCACACTTCAAGGAACTAAAAAAAAAAGAACTAAACCCAAAGTTAAAAAGAAGGAAGAAAAAAACAAAGATCAGAGCTTAAATGCAATACAGTGGGAAGATGAGGGAAAAGGTCAACAAAACTAGGAGTTCTTTTAAAGAAAAATAAAATTGACAAATATTAAGCTAGATGCTAAAAACTGAAGACTCAAAATCAGAAATTACAACTGATAAACACAGAAATACTAAAGGATAATAAGAGAGTGCTATGAGCAATACTATGCCAACAAACTGGAATAAAGTTGAAGAAATGGATAAATTCCTAGAAGCACACAACTCACCATGACCAACTAAGGAAGAAGCAGAAAATCTAAGCCAACCAATAGTGACAAAGGGGACTGAATCAGTAATCAAAATCTCCCAAAAGTCATGCGTGCTCCTACAAGCCTGAAACTTGGCACTCTGGGAGGCTGAGGCAAGAAGACCACAAGTTCAAGCCCAGTGGGGAAACTTAAAAGACTCAACAAGAGCCTGTCTCAAACCAAAATTTAAAAAGGGATAGAGATGTAGCTCAGTGTGAGGCCCTAGGTTCAATCTCTACTACTGGAAGAAAAAACATCCCCAAATGAAAAGCCCAGGTCCTGTTCTCCCTGGTGAATTCTACCATACATTTAAGTATTAATACCAATTGTCATTCAACTCTTCCTCCAAAAAACTGAACAAGAGAGAACTCTTTCAAGTCATTCTACAAAGCCAACATTACTCTAGTACCAAAGGCAGGCAAAGACACTGTAAGAAAAGAGAACTGCAGGCCAATTCCCCCAATGAACAGATGCAGAGATTTTTAACAGAATACTACCATCAGCACATTAAAAAGACTGTATACCACAAGTGAGTTAGACTTATAACAGGGATAAGGACGGATCAACAAATGCATATCAACAAATGTGATACACGACATTAACAAAATGAAGGCAAAAACATAAAACCATCATCTCAACAAATGCAGGAAAATACTTAACAAAATCCAATACCCTTTCACAATAAAAGCTCTCAACAAATTATAGAAGGAACACACCTCAACACAATTAAGGTCATATGTGCAGGTTCACAGCTAACTTCATCCTCAACAATGAAAAATTGATAACTTTTCCTCTACGATCAGCAGGAAGGCAAGGATACCTGCTTTCAGCACTTCAATTCAACATGGTATTGGAAGTCCTGACCAGAGCAATTAGACAAGAAAAAGAATTAAGAGACATGCAAATTGGAAAGGAGGATTTAAAATCATCTGTTGGCAAATGATGCGATCTTTTTATAGAAAACCTTTAAAAGTCCACCAAAAACTATTAGAACTAATAAATGAATTCAGTAAAGATATACAAAATCAACATACAAATGCCTTAAACTTATGAGAAAGGAAAATAACGATTTGGGGTAACGCCCGAATCCTCACTGCTAATGTGAGACGAATTTTTGAGTGGGTAAAGGTTGCCCCTAAGGTGATCCACCTACTTTGCAGGATGCCTGGGAGTCACAATCTGCCCAACCCCTACACTCTTAAAAATCACACTGTCCTTCAGTGGTTCTGGCGCCTGCCTTGCAAGTGCAAGGTCCCGAGTTCAATCCCCAGTACCAAAAAAAAAAAAAAAAAAAATCAACATACAAAAACCAGTTATAGTTCTATACACTAATAATCAACTATCCAAAAAAGTAAGAGCACAATCCCATTTATAATAACATCAAAAATGAGAAGAAAAAATATCTTGGAATAAATTTAACCAAGGGAGTGAAAGACACTGAAAACTATAAAACAGTCATAAAACAAATTGAAGATGATACAAATAAATCAATATTCTGCATTCATGGACAACGAGATGTTATCTAAATGTCCATATTACCCAAAATGACTTTTCAACTCAAGGCAATCTCTATCCAAATTCCAATGGCATTTTTTACCAAAAAATAAGAACAAAAATCCTAAAATTTGTATGGAACTACAAATGACCCCAAATCGCTAAAGCAATCTTGAACAAGAGCAAAGCTACAGGTATCACATCTCCTGATTTCAAATAATATTGCAAAACCATAGTAATCAAAACATTGTGGTACTGAAATAAAAAGACATGAAAAATCAATGGAACAGAATAAAAACCCTAGAAAAATATCCAAACGGATACAGTCAATATTCTTTAACAAAAGTGTCAATAATATACAATGATGAAAGGACAGTCTCTTTAATAAAATGTTGGGAAAACTGGATATCCATGTGCAAAAAACTGGATCCTTACAATACACACAAAAATCAACTGAAAATGAAAGACTTAAACACAATACCTAAAA